ACTTCTTAATGTTTATAAACAATGGAGATATGATTTTTTTAAAAATAGTCGCTAACTTCGTTCCTATTGGTCATAGAAGGTTTTTTATTTTTTAATGTGAGCTTTATTACCAGCTATCCAATGGTTGTACGTACAAGTCTGTAGCTTAAAAAATATAGAAGTTATTACAATTGTTTATAAGTAAAAAACATACCCCTTTTTCAAACGTTTATTTTGTAAATAATTTCGATGAAAACTCAATATGCCTTTAACTTCTGAGATAGTCTAAGTCTTAAACAATCTTATGAAATTTGCTAAATGTGTCTAGCATCATGCATAGGGCAAGCTCAATGGTTTAAATAATTAGTCCCAGGGATAAACAAATTGAATAACTTTTAAACTATTTGACCGATCGGGGTGAAATTTCGCACAAATTTAAAGGACGGTAATTCCTCCATGTTAAAATGTATTAATAACATTTTATTTTGTTAATAAAAAAATTAATTAAATTTATAAATTAGTGCAAAAAAACTGCTTTTTTGCAAATATCTCCGCAAATTATAAATCAATTTTAATTGAAAAAACGGAAAAATAAAGATATTCTTGACATAAAAAAATGGTATAAATATTGTTTATTTAAATTGTAAGGGAAAAAACTTATAGATAAAAAATCAAATTTTGACCATAAATTGTTGTTTAAAAAAAAACGCAACGTAAAACTAGGAGTATCTTTTTATCTATTCGTCATCTAGTAACCCCCACCTATGTCTTAAAAGCTTCAAATATCTGCGAAACATTTTTCCACCTTTTTTTTTAACCAGACTGGGCTAAATACAATTCACAAAAGAATGGGAAAAATAATCAAGGAAGAAATTATACAGACACAAGGAACTAAAAAAAAAATGTTTGGAAAATAAATGTGAAAGCAAAAACAAATCACTGAAGAGCTAAGAAAAAAAGTGAAACCACATAAAAATTGTTAAAAATAACCACCAATGCCGCTCAGGAAAATGACTGAAAACCTTGGTATACAGTAATACAAAACTAGATATTTGAAGCGTCAAGAAATACTGGGAAAATACGAACCAAATAGGGCAGTAAGCTTAAATCTAATGATAAAATATTACAAAAATGGAGACAGTATCAAAAAGAAAGAGAGGCTGGAGGAGACAAAACTGATCATCCATACGGAGTAGCATTCATGAAAGTTAATATGACGAACAAGATAGAAGCGTTTGAAATGTGGTCTTAACAGAATACGTCAAGGTGAACGTGATTTTACAAAAATGACAAAAAGAGGAAGTTTGAATACTTCTTCTTGACTCAATGTGCCTCCAGTAAATTATCGTTTTCGTGGTCTTTCTGCTGCTCGTCTTTCTATTGTGGAACCGTCTATACAGACACCTGTGACTCAGACAGGTGGTGTTGGATTCCTAATACCCTAACGAAGCTGTGCCAGGGCGAGATGACCAAGGGATTTAGACCTTTGACATCACTTGTTTTGGAATTATGTTGCGATTTCCCTCTTATCTCGTTCTCCCTGATCAGAGAGATCAAGAGAGCAGCTCCCTGATACATTTGTGGATCCGTGTCCACCACCACTCATCCCTCATCATTTTCTCCACCATTTCTCTCACGGAATAAAACATTCTGTAGTTACACTCTCTTACAAACTTCTCTCTTTCATCGGCCAACGCTCACACTCAAACATCGTGTGTATCACAGTATCCGAGAAATCACAGTAAAGGCACTGATCGGACTGAGCCCTCCTAAACCTGAAAAGGTAGTTGAGCAAGCAGCCTGTGAACATTTGCATCAGATAATAATCTAGCTGCTTATGCCCACAGTCCACCCAGCTTCGAAGGTTCGGGATTAATGACTTCGTCTACTTCGCCGCATCACGTGTTGCCTCCCACTCTTGTCACTGACCGATTGAAACTAATCTCTATCTCATCAGACTTATCTCATTCATTTATCGCTCTCCAATGTTCCGCACCTACGAATCCTGGCCCCTGGCCATTGGAATCCTGGCCCTTTCACCTGCCACAGATCTCTGCCTGACCACAGATATTAGGCATTAACCTCGTCAGCGCAGCCATTCTCTGAATAGCTCTGCGGGCCACCTCCTCTAATGTTACCCCAACTCCCACCCTGGTGGGGAGTAACTGCCAGATATTTGACGTACTTTTTGGGATTCACTCTCGCTCCCGCGCACTCAAATTCAACCTTATCTCTCTTTTTGTAGCATCTGAGTACTACAGCCTCTGTCTTATCCTCCGCGAGAGAAAGATCGTTCTCGCTCATCCAATCCTCAACTAGGACACACGCATGCGTAATCCGAAGGAAGAGTTTCTCCCTGTCCCGTGCCGTCACCAGCATAGCAAGGTCCGTCCGCGAATGCGAAGGGGGTCACACCCTCCCCATATTTTCAGTTTAAGACCCCGTTATATACCAGGTTCCACAGCGTCGGACCCAGGACGGAGCCCTGCGGGACCCCAGCCGTTACATCCACCATCACACCATTTTCCACCACAATCTTCCTCTCGGAAAGATAATCAGCGACCACATTCATCAGATACCCAAGACAGTTCCTTGCTTCCAAAGATCTAATTACGCGACAACACTGCAATCTATTAAAAGCATTTCGGACGACAAAGAGAATCAGGATGACCCATCGATGATCAGCCCCAATTCCCCGTGCCGCCCGGAGCACATCGGTCACCACATCCACTGTATTTTTACCTTGGCAGAAACCATTTTGTCTCGGGGACAGGCCTCTAGACATCTTCTGCTTCTTCGGGTTCCTTCTCCTAGCGGAGGTTGGAAATCATCATCGCTATTTTAACTTTGTTGGCAGCATTTCTGAATAATTCTAATGAGCTGCAGCCGAACCACTCTCTCAAATTTCTTAGCCAGGACATTTTGCGTCGTCCTGGGTTTCTCTTCCCTTGTATCTTCCCTTGCATAATCAACCTCAGTAATACGTACTTCTCACCCCTCATTAAATGTCCCAGATATTGAATCTTTCTAATTTTAACAGTTTTTATGACATATCACATTCTTTCTTCATTCTTTGTAACACCTCTATATTAGTTACTTTTTCAATCCACGATATTTTATGCATTCTCCTATAGCACCACATCTCAAAGGAGTTTAATTTTTTGATTTCAGACTGCTTTATTGTCCACGCTTCCATGCCATATAGTAAAGTAGAGAATACGTAACAACGTAGCATTCTTGTGCGAATCTCTAGATTAAGGTTACGGTTGCAAAGTAATTTCTTTAATTTTATGAACGTGTTTCTTGCCATTTCTATTCTAGATCTGATCTCCTTTACTTGATCTCCATCTTCGGTTAGCCACGTTCCTAAATATTTATATGTTTTTACTCTTTCTATCGTTGTATTATGATGATCAGGTTATTTACTTTTTTGGTTTTTTTTGAGAATATCTCTAGACCTCTAGACCTCTAGACATCACAATCACCTAATCGATACGTGAATGTAGTATTCTCTCATACAGCTTTTCGATACAAGGAAGAAGGCAAATAGGATGATATTTTTATGCCTTGAATTTAGGTAGAAGCACGAGCCTCGAGATTTTCCAGAGATCCGGAAAAGACTGAAGAGCATTCACGTGCTCCAGCAGCCACGTGGGCTCCAAACGGCCCAGACGCATAACCGCCTCAGATGGGACACCATCTAAACCGGGAGCTCTACCAGACTTAAGGGAACTCATCGCCACGGCTAGTTCTTCCAAAGTAAATGGAATCCCACGCTCAGCCTCGACATCTCTCCGCACACCATGCCACCGTCCTTGTGGAAACAGTTCGGTGACTATCTCCAGCTGCTGGTCCAATGGCATGTCATACGGAGCACAGGCGTCGAAATGTTTCATTGCGATCTTAAACCCTTCACTCCAGGTGTCTTCGTCCAGATGATCGTTGCATTCTACTCTTCTATTTCTTACCCAGTTTTCATGTCTGCTGTTTCTATCATCCTTTTTGTTCTCACTGCGTCAGGTCTTGTTTTTGCCGTGTATGTCATTATTGGTCTGATGACTGTTTTGTAAATTCTACCTTTCGTTTCTTTTCCGATATTTTTATTTCTCCATATTGTTTCATTCAGGCAGCCTGTGGTTCTGTTTCCTCTATTCACTTGATCTTTGACTTCAGTTTCGAGCTTTCCGTAGCTAGATAATGTGATACTTAGATATTTAAACTCCATCACTTATTTTATTATCTGACCTTCCAGCTCCAATTTACATCTTAACAGATACTGGATATTGCAGGTAATACACAACAGAAAGGATTGAAAGAGAGGCACAACCTTCGTCAATGGATTGGCTTATCAACAGAACAATTGTTACATGCCGCACAGGATCGAGAAAAATATCTTCAAATTGTCATGGAAACTAGCAACTGATAATTATGAGCAAGATAGCTAAGAAAACAAATGCACTTGTCTCATACTGCTCGCATTTTGTGGAATATTTAAACGGATTAAACTCACATGGGGTGTAAGCTAGATCACGTCCGTAGTAGAATCCAAAAATAAAATAAGATAAAGTACATTTTCCAGGCTAATTTTAATAAGGAAAATAGAAAGGCTATCAAAATTTTTGTTGTGTGTGTTCGATTTTCTTTTACAGCAGACTAATCCATTAAACGAAAAAATAACCGTAAAAAATATTTTTTTACTGTTACAACCAGATACAAACAATTACCCTGAAATATAAATTTTTCAAACATATTTCCTCACTAAACTTTAAAACCTTTTTTCAAACTAATCGTTGATAAAAGATTTATTAAAAAAACAGAATATTTATTAAATTTTATCGAGATTTATATAGCGCCCATTTTTTGCGACTTTGTGCCTGAAATGATGATTTCTTGCAATAAAAACTATTATCTAATAATAAATGTTTGTAGTATGTGTCAAATATAAATTACCATATTTTTCAAGTGCATTTATTGGGCCCCAATGTCTGCATTGTGTTACCTTTCAATGGCCATGAAGAAAGAGAAAGAATGAGCTGCAAAACCCATTCTCTAGTAGCAAAGGTGTTCTGCATTATTAGTTCTTTGTTTCTGTACCATGTAAGTAATAATTATTTTTGGTGAATATGTATTTAAAGATTTATAATTATTATTTTGCATTTATTTAAAATATATATTAAAACAGTTTAAAAACTATTTGTTGACGTTGTTTGAAATGTTTAAGATGGATCCTCTCGAAAAATTGAGTAATTATTTTATTAATTATTATTATCCAATTAATGGTTTCTTGAATTTTTGATCGATTTTTTTATATGTAGGATCTTTTTACTTTTAATGTGCTTCAACCTATGGTGTTATTAGCGCCTTTTAGTATTACAAAAAAATTATTTTAGTTGATACATTGGATTATGTCTATATTTTGTTGTATAATCCTATTGATTTAACGAGCCTTAACACTGCTTAATTTCACTTTTATATAGACTTATCGTGTATTTATACTTGTATATCTTCTTCTTCTTCTGGTTCCTATCCGTTTCGGATGTTGGAAATCATATTGGCAATCATAACCTTGCTCGCTGCGGCTCGAAACTGCTCCGTTGAGGTTTTCTTTAACCATCTTCTTAAATTCCGCAGCCATGATATTCTCCTTCTACCGGGTCCTCGCTTACCTTTGACTTTACCTTGCAATATAGACTATAGCAGGGAGTAACGGTGCTCATTTCTCATAAGGTGTCCCAGATATTTCAATTTTATGCGTTTGATTGTAAACACAATCTCTGGTTCCTTCTTCATTTTTCCTAGAATTTCGTTGTTCGTGATCCTTGCTGTCCATGATATTCTCAGCATTCTTCTATAAAGCCACATCTCAAATGCTTTAAGTTTTTTAATAGTGGTGTCTGTAAGCGTCCAAGCCTCCGCCCCGTACAACAACACAGAGAAAACATAGCATCTCAAATGTCTCAGTTTTGTATCAAGGGATATGTTGTGATTTTTGAAGATGGCGCTCATTTTGTTAAAGACCGTTCTTGCTTTTCCCATGCGGCACTTTATTTCCTGTAAATTGCTCCACTGTTAGTTAATAATAGTTCCCAGGTAACAATACTGTTTTACTCGCTCTATCTGCGTCCCATTAATGTATAGATGAGCCCCGTTTATATTCTCCTTGCTGATAATCATTTGTTTCGTTTTGTGGGTATTAATGTTTAGTCCGTACTGTTGACTGTACTCGTTTATTCTGTCCATTAGCCTCTGAAGTCCCTCTAAACTATCTGCTATCACCATGGTGTCGTCGGCATATCTAACATTGTTTACTCTTTCACCATTTAGAAGGATGCCTTCGTCTATTCCGTAAAGAGCCTCGTTAAAAATTTTCTCTGAGTACATATTAAATATCAACGGCGATAAGATACATCCCTGTCTAACTCCACGTAGTATTTTTATGTGATCTGTTTCTTCTCCGTTAATTTTCATGTATGCGGTCTGATTCCAGTAGAGTTCTGAAATTATTCTGAGGTCTTTGTCATCCAGGTCTGCCTCTTTTAAAATGTTTATCATCTTTTAATGTTGAACTCTGTCAAATGCCTTTTCATTGTCGATCAAGCACACGTATACGTCGCAGTTAACTTCCCTGCATCTTTGAATCAGTACCTGTACTCCGAAAAGTGCCTCTCTAGTACCCACTGCGTTAATGAAGCCGAACTGTCTGTCCGATATTTGTTTCTCGCACTTCTTATAAATTCTTCCATGGATGACTCTAAGAAACAGTTTCAACATGCCGCTCATTAGGCTGATCGTTCGATATTCTTCGCTCTTTTTAGCCCCCTGTTTTTTAGGTATCGCTATGAATTCTGATTCTAACCATTTATCAGGGATGATTCCTGTATTGTATATTTTATTGAAGATAGCCGTGATCCAAATTATTTCTTCTTCCTCCAAGAGTTTTAAAAATTCAGCTTCGATATTATCAGGTCCTACAGCTTTCCTGCTTTTCATCCGTTTTACTTCTTGTATTGTGACTTCTTACTGTACTGTATATACTTCTGTGAATATGTTGGGCATTAGAGTAGGATGTTTTGTACAAGTAAACTATTGAAACACTTAAACGCACATTGCGTTCGTATGTTAGGCGCCTATGCCTTAACCTTAGTCTGTTTTACTGTTTGATCCTCATTATTTTTTCATGAGTTCTTCGATTTTTTGACCGCGCCTTGTTTTAATATCTCGTAGTTTCTGTTGCAATTGATTCAGTGGTGAAAATCTTTGCTGTATGTCTGTTTCGATCATCAAATCAAATCTAGGTTGGTCCTCGAAGATTTGATAGCAGCATCAACTCTTTCATTTACAGGGATATGTGATAGAATCATTTAAAAGTTTAATGCAAATTGCAATCTTTAGTTATAATAATATAATTAATATAAATTGTTGTTTATTATTCGTAATTTCTTCTTTTATGTGTCTATTCGTTACCGAATGTTTCAAGTATGGTTACCGTTAGATTTTTTTGGTCAGGAGATTTAGAGATAGCTATTGAGTTCACTCGGGACTTACGGGTTGATCCGGATCAGTGTTGGATATTTCGGAGCGATTTTGGAAAGGTTTTGTATTCCTCTTCTTCTTATTATTGTGCCATATCCAATTAGTGGATGTTGGCGACAATGCTGGCATACTGCTCTCGATCTTGTGCGGCTCTAAAGAGTGCATGGGCATCGAGGTTTGTCCAATCCCTTACGTTATTTATTTTATTTAGCGTAGGGCTACATCAAAGGTTCATATATCTACATATAATATAAATTATATAAATTACAAACAAGAGTAAATACAAAAATATTATTCTACAAACAAACATCTAGATTATAAATATATTCGATTGACTCTTTTGTAGCAGCCAGGAAATCTGAAGGGTTGCCGTTATAGGATCTAATCGGGCATTCCTCTACCATGTGTTTTACTGTTTGCCTTTCGGCGCCGCCGTCGCAATTTGGTAATTGTATTTTTCCCCATCTAAAAAGTGAGTCGGAACATCTGCCACAGTTCGTCCTTATTCTATTGAGTGTGGTCCAAATTCGTCTCGGTTGGCTGAAGCCCTCAGGTTTGCTTGTAATACATGGCATGTTCCAGTTAGCTGGTGTAGCGTTATTCTCCCATTGTTCTTTCCACCGTTTAGTTACATTAAAGTTTTGATCTACTAGCCTTTTTGCTGTTTTTAGAGGCGGGTGTCTTGAACGGTTCCTATTTATGTCTCTGGCGGAAGTTCCGACATGGGAGCGGAGCTCAGGATCAGTATTAATTTTTGTAAATTCTCTGACAAGGGCATGTTCCCGGCGGATGGGTGGTGGAGCTATATGACTCAAAGCTGGTAACCAGTAAGTGGGCGTGGCCTTGATTGTGCCCGATATAGTTCGCATGGCTTGGTTGAGTTGGACATCAACACGGTGCGTATGTGGGCTGTTTATCCATACTGAACGGTACGGCACAGTATTCCGCTACGGAGTATACCAGTCCTAATGCTGTCGATCTAAGCGTGGGTGCTGAGGAGCCCCATGTAGTGCCGCAGAGCTTTTGCAGGTTATTGTTACGAGTTCGGAGTTTTGCAGCAGTCTTAGTAAGATGCTCTTTAAAGTTCAGCGTTCTGTCAAGTGTAACACCTAAGTATTTTGGGTGTTTATTTTATTTAAGGAGTCTATCCCAAAATTGATTTGAGGTTGATAGTTGGCCATCTTGTTGTACAAATGGAAGCAGGACACTTCTGTCTTAGTTGGATTGGGTTGCAATCTCCATTTGCGGAAATAATTCCCTAGGGCATTTAAATCGTTTGTTAAAATGCGTTCAGTGACCTTGAATTCTTTATGACTTGCGGCAAGCGTCCAGTCGTCTGCGTATCCAAACTTTTTTGATGTGGTTTCTGGTATGTCTGCTATGTAGAGGCTGAAAAGCATGGGAGCCAGCACGGATCCTTGTGAAAGTCCATTATTCAATTTTCTTTGGGTACTAGTTTTGTCTCCCAATATAACTTTAAAGCATCTGTTGGATAGCATGGCGTTAATAACCTTAGTGGTCTTTCTGCATGGGATTATTCGCATTAATTTAAATATTGCTCCTTGTCGCCACACAGTGTCATAAGCAGCAGATAGATCGATGAAGACAGCAGTTGTTTTTGATTGCTTTTGAAAGTTTGATTCCTCATAATTGGTCAGGGCGAGTACCTGGTCTGTGCAGCTGCGGTTTGGCCGAAATCCTGCCTGTTCCACTGGTAAGTGTTGGAATATGGTTTTGCTGATTCTATTATACAACAGTCTTTCGAACAATTTGTACACCATACTTAAGAGTGCGATGGGGCGGTAGTTTTTCGGTGAATTATTACTTTTCCCTGGTTTTAAAATGGCGACGATTTTTGCATTTTTGAGTTGGTGGGGGACGTTTCCCGTTTGAAGGATGTAAGAAAAGAATTCTGCGAGCCATTGCCTAGTGAATCTGCCGCTACGTTTGAGGAACTCAGCGTGAATGGCGTCGAAACCCGGCGCTTTTCCTGTTTTCATTTCATTTAGGGCTTGCGATATTTCTTCATGCGTAAATGGGTTGGAATATTCTGTTGACTGTGTAAGACTAGATTTTATGGTTTTGAGGTCTTTTTTAACTTTAATTGTATGTAAACGATTTTGAGATGCCCTAGAGGTTGACACTATGTGCGTAGCTATTTGGTCTGGAGTTACTAGGTTGGTTTGGCGAACGGGTGGGCCAAGCTTGTCGACTTGACTTCTGGAAGTCTAGGTTTTCTACTGTCTGTGTCCATTTTTCACCCTGGCAGCATCAATGCTGTGGAGTAGTTGGTCTGCAATCTCTTGCTTTCCATCTTCGCAATATTCTTCATACAGTTTTTCGCTCTGTTCTATCCAACCAGGGATATATTCTTTGCGGTATCCTCTAGGGATTGTCACTTTTGCTGAGGTGATTATTGCTCCTGTTAGTCTCCCGTAGTTCTGGCTATTTGCTGGAATCCATTCTAGGCATTTGTCAAGGTTACTGGTGAAAGCAGACCAGTTAGCTTTCTTGAAGTTCCATCTAGGGCGTGGGAACGATCTTATAATCGGAATGCTGATACC